AATTAATTATTTTTTTTATAACATTCTAATTTAGGCTGTCATTCATCAAATTGATATATTTAAATTACTATGCCATGGACATCAACTTGCTTCATGGCGAAGAGAATTCCAAAATGAAATTTGTTAGCATCATATTCTTGTAACTTCGACCAGTATCTAACAAATCATGAACACTAGTTTTGTTCATGTTTTTACTTTGCAATAAGCAAATTTTTTTATGTAAACATCTAGTAGTTCCAATTGATTTGAAACTGCATTCATTTTTTTATAATGTATTACTATATACTTTTCTTTTTTTAAAAAAAATAAAAATAAAAAATAAATAAATAAACTTTAATTTATTTAAATATTCAGATTCGTTGCAATTCAATTCTTGGAATGAAATAAGAACATATTGTAATCTTGAAAAAAATAACTATGAAACAATAGTCGATAATTCTATTTCAAGCATTAATGAAATTTCTTTGACAAGTAATGAATATGAAACAATGGATAATTCTGTGGATATAGTTGAACAAGAACATATGCGATTAGGGATTGGACCCGGGTAAAAATTGTTACTATACGATCATAATAACTTACCCGGATAACCCGGGTAATTTAATAATACCCGGGTAATTTAATTATACCCGGGTAATTTAATAATACCCGGGTAATTTAATAATACCCGGGTAGAGATTTTCTCAACGGGTCCAATCTCTATATGCGATTATGTCATGTTCTAAGCAAGGTAAATTTTAATTTATTTGATGTTATATTTTTATTTCTGTAATTAATGGTACTTATATTGATCTTCAGGCGCAACGTATTCTTGATGAATCAAAGGTTCTTCATAATCGGCAAAGGTTTCTTGATAATATAGAAGAAAAATTAACTCCTCTTGAAAATTTAGTTGAAGATGTTTTGCAGCATGAAAGAAGACGTACATTACCACGAACGTGGAAAGATAACAATATAAATACACAATATTATGGTTAGAACTTTGTATAAAAAATAGTTTCGATATTATTTTCAATCTCATAGTTTTAGTTTGCTTATAATGTAATTACAATAAAAAATAAATTATTATCGCGGTATGCACTATCACTATTACAGTGTTAATATTATGGTTAGAACTTGGTATAAAAAATGGTTTCATAATTACAATAAATATAAATTATTATCACGGTATACACCAGTATTAAGATTAAATTTTTTGTTCATCGATCACATGATTGATCGGAATATCATGTGACTGCGCCCTCGATTGTTGATTACGCTGGTGCTTTTCATAACATTGATTAGTAATATATAT